TGTGGTTAGCACAGTAAGCCTGCATCAGTGCAAACTCGGTATTGGAGGGTTTTATAACCCGCTTGCACTTAAGGCTAGTTGGCTTAGAATAGCACTTCATGTGACAGATCTCCAACAGCAACACACAACCACAGTTAAAGTGGAGGGAAACAGTGTAGGGTGGATTAGAAATATCCTGCCGTGTTTGAATTACCCACTCATTCACTATATAGTGCACCATGTAGTCTGTCATCCATTTTGCAGTGCTCTTCAAAAATCTCAACTGTAAATGTAATTTACTATATAGTGCTTCAATGTCATTGCACATCTCAGGAAACACAGAAAAGTAATGTACAGAAGCCGTGCACAAGTGAGACCTTTGTGCCTTTTCTGTTTGTTTTTAGAAGGGGGAAAGGAGCTGTCAGATATGCTTTTAATATTTGTATTAAATATGAATTAAGCCGAATTATACTGCTTTTAGGTGGATGAAGTTCATAGAAATTGTTGTCGTTAAAGTTATGTGTGCTCAGATATACATTTTCCTTTCAATGTTGTGGAGAGATTTGCCAATTACAACCTGTACTTATCCAAAAGTAGCACTACTGAGGCACCCATTGCCTCAAATGTGTTTTTCTGCTCTTGTTCGCAATGTTAGGAATATTTAACAATATCTAGTGCATAATTATAATTATGTAATAACGATGCATTGTGTAGTATATCAGCAGCTATCTATGCTTAATTCCATGTGAGTCCACTATGTAGCAAACACCATGCAGTGGATGATTAAATCCACAGATTAAATGCATAAAAGGGGGATAATTAAGCACAGGTGCAAGACATTAGAGAAGACGAGCAATCAAACAGGTGGAAAACCAAACACACAAGGACAGGAAGTGGAGGGTTTGAAATGTGAAGACGCCCATAAATACAAAGTAAAACACAATGAAATAGAAAGAAAGCCCACCTCAAACAAATGATTCAAGTGATCTTTAGAAGCAGCTGTAAAGCCCTGGTTCTACATGATTTTAAAAAAGCTTGCTGCCATAAGTCGCCCTAATGAATTATGAATTTGTCAGCCTGCACTCCACATTCTCTCTGCTCCATCCCTCTTTTCATTTCTCTTTACTCCTCATACTACCTGCATTTTAAAAAATTATGCAGCAAGAAAGGCTCAGCAGTAGCTGTAGTGACCCTCATATACATATCTTGAGGTTTTATTCACCCAAGAGATACATAGTAAAAGGTTTTCTTGTTTCCAGACTGGAATTTTTGTGTGTGGTTATATTAGAAACTTTGTAGGACTAGACAAAATATTAACCGTGTTTACAGTGATCACCCCACATTAGAAAAGAATTTATGTGATAACTGTCGAGCGATTAAAGTTGCCCTAAAGCATGACTGAAAACTTCTCCCTGTCATGGGATGAAAAGTGATGGACCACATGTGGCTTTTCATGAAGCCACACTCTGCGATTCACCCCTCATCACTCCTGCATTCGTCCATGTTAATTAGCTTTGCTTGTTTTGGAGTTCATCAATATTTTAGCACCCCAATTCATAATTCAAACAGGAACCTGAAAAATCAACCGAGTTGTTATTTCGCTACGATTTCCGCTTCGGCTGGGGATGTGGAAACGCTGTAGCCGTCAGTGTTTGGTAACCAGGATTTGAGGGAGAATATGTGAAATGACGATACTGTAATCAGTTATGACATGCTGTGTGGTGTTGCATTTTGGGCCACAGGCAAGACTTTATTTTTTTTTTTTGCTCTCATGAGGAGAGTGTGCAACGCTTCAGTCGGTCACCTCCACAACCGATTTCCTACATCAAATGCTTGTATGTTAACTTCATGCAGCAGGTCGGATGAATGTCAGCAGCCCGCTGCTCTTGAGTATCTGTTTCAAATAAACAGTGTTTTCTTCCCCGGGTCTGTGAGTACATGTGACTGTGTGAAGATGTGTCTGTGTTCTGGCCTCGTACTACAGCCTGCAGATGTTGTAGGTGTGAACTTGACTTTTCCTTGTAGCAGGAGGTGTGAACCGCTGGGGAAATGTTATTCTGGCTGACTCACAAACTGCAGGAATCTTTCTGAGAAATCGTTTACCTGTGGATTTAGTTCAAAAATCTGTGTGTTCTTCTAACTTAAAAAACAAACCATCAATTGGTTTCAGAATAAATCGATTTAAAAAAATCTCCCGTTCTGAACCACGATATGTAATCTTGCTCCTTGTGGAATGGTCATTAGCCTTACAGGGAGACGGTGCTATTTTTTTATTTAGAAAAACATTAAACAAGTACAAAAAATCCAGCCTGTTGGCAGTTTGTTTTGTTTTCTCTTTGAAGACAATGTATTGTGTGTGTTTGACCAGACGATTTCTAAAAGAAGAGCGAGTCTTTGAATTCCCGCATGAAGCAGGATAAAGTGAGAGAACTGCCCCCAGACGTTTGCTTTTAAACCATAAAATGCTCAGTGGCGTAATCTGAAGCATGTGAGAGATGCTGCCTCACTGAATAAAAATTTAAAAAAATGTTGAAACCTTAAAGCGACACACTAAATAAGGAGTTTTGAGAGCAGGCAGAGGAAATGTGAGGTCAGTATTAGAACAGCTGATCCACGGGTCCACAGCAGGTCACTGAGATGCAGAGGAATGATGGTCACACAGATGGGTGCATTGAAGAGTTGTAGCCAAAGAAAAGTGATGTACACATCACTTCTCAAAGCCCAGACATTATTATTCTGTTCTCATTCTGCTTTTCCTCATACAGTAATATCCTCATATACAAAATCTTCCTAAAAATGCTTAATGTAATTTATGACTTTAAATACAGCCTAAGATTGTGTAATAAGGCCAGAAACCCGAGACCACAGAGAAGAAAGAAAAGACAAACTGCCTCATTTACCCACAGAGCTTAGCCACACATTTTTCACTTAAGACAAAGTCACACAGCTACCTGGGAAGTATCCATATTAATGTCTCCAGTACTCTGTGATCAATTTCTTTAATTATCTCAAGCGCCGGGCCCTAAGATATCACTTTCATTCTTTTTCCATATTTTCTTAAATGATCCCTGGAATCAGGGAAAGCACTGAAGATAATTCGTTCCCCTGTCGAGGAGATTATACGTTGGTTTGCCGGCTGTCTGTCAGCGGGATATCTGAGGAACCTTAGAACAGATTTCTGCTAATTTTGGTGGACAGGATAGCTGCAGGCCAAAGAACAGATGATTCGATTATGGTGGTGAGCTGGATCTAGGACTTGTTCAATTAGACAATTATCATTTTAAGCTGTAAAAGTAACGGAGATAGAGGTTCACTGTGTGGTGCCTTCTTTCTAAAAATAAAATGGGGAATAATTTGTCTGATGGAAGCTGTACCTTCTGTTTTATTTCACATTTTACTCTGGAGTGTTTCCAAATACGTCTTTGGTCGTCATAGTGCCGCTTAGCATTTATTTCAGTAAAGTTTTAGACATAAGAAGAGACTCTTGTTTTTGTTTTGCTGCATATGTGTGAATGGGATTAGTGTTTTAAAAAAAAGGACTTTTTTTTCTCTGGAATATGTTATTACTGGGGAAAAGTGAGCTAGTATGAGGTATCTCAACAACTGCACTAACCATTATGTGAGTTTTCAGTTATTTTTACAATCCCCTGCTAGTTTTTAGGTCCGTGTGCGTGTGCCCTTATGAAAATTTTTTTTTTTAAAAACAGAGGTTTTGACAAATTTGTTTGCAAAGCCGTAGTGTGGCATTTTGAGATTTAAACTTTTTTGGTTCATCAAATGGTAAATGGTAAATGGCCTGCATTTGTATAGCGCTTTTTCTAGTCCCTAAGGACCCCAAAGCGCTTCACACTACATTCAGTCATTCAGTCATTCACACACACATGTGTCAAGTGTGGAATTGCCAAGGAACAACTAGCATGGCAATTTTCCAGAGGCAAAAAATTGAACAATAATATATATAATGTGCTGTGATCTAGCTCATTGTTATCTGCATAGAAAAAAGTCACAATAGTAAATAAAACAAAACAAAAAAACAAAAAAACCAAATAAAAAATGGCAAGTTGTGATTTTCATGTTGGGTAATGTTAGGCTAAACTGAATAAGCCATTTTCAATTCAATTCAATTCAATTTTATTTATATAGCGCCAAATCACAACATAAGTCGCCTCAAGGCGCTTCATAGATTTGAACTGCTTCATAACTGTAGCTTGACTGGAAAGCAACAGCATTAAACCAGCTGCCAAATATTGTGTTGATCCCCTTTGTGTTGCTAAAACAACTCTGAACTGTCTGGACATGACTCCAGGGCCTCTAGGCGTGTCCTGTGGTGTCTGCCAGCACGAAGTTGGCAGTTGAGCCTTTTGGTCCAGTGGCTTGCAGTGTGGGACCTCCCTGGTGCTTTGGGTGGATTCTGGATCACATTGGCATCTAAGCAGTTTGGAAGCCGGGTCAATGGCTTGGGCTGTTGTTGTTGTTCCTGAACAGTTTTTGTAGAGTGGTGGGGTGCATTGTCCTGCTGAGAGGGCACTGCCGGTGGGGGATGCTGTTGCAAAAACTGTTGTGTGGGAGGTTGAAATAACATACACACAAATGCCAGGACTTGAGTTTTCCCAGCTGGACGGTTCACGGCAATAATGAGGTTAGAACTGTTTTATGCACATTACCTGTCTGTAATTCTAATGTTGTGGGAGCGTGGTGTATAAGTGGTGTATAATAAGCGCATTTGGAAGCACACTTGATGTATTCTTTAGGTTGGTTAAATGTTTGTATTATTTTGTTGATCTCTTCTTTTTGTGCTTTTGAAAAGAAATGTCAAATCAAATGTTCTTTCTTCTCTCGTTGCCTGGAACTTGTGTCTGTTTCCATCTTTATAGCAGATCAAAATACGTTTACGACATCTGACATTGATTTTATGAAGGTAGACGTGACACAGCACCACAGCCCTCCTTCCAGTGATCCTAACTGACCCTCTTTTCCCTCCTCTCTACCACCCCCTCTGCCCTCCTTCTCTCCTTTTTTAGATGCAAGGTGTGCCGTCCCCCCCTCCTATCATTATCACCATCATCGCTCCCACGCCCACTCCTTCCACGCTCCCTCCTACGACCGTCCCGCTCACGAACGTCCTACCTACAACCGTCCCTCCTACAGCCGTCCTTCTCACGACCGCCCTTCCTTCGATCGCCCGTCCTTTGACCACCCTTCCTTCGACCGCCCGTCCTTCGACCCCCCATCCTTTGACCGCCCGTCCTTCGACCGCCCATCCTTTGATCGTCCTACTTTCGATCGCCCATCCTACAGTCGTCCCTCGCACGAACGCCCCATCTACGACCGCCCATCACACGATCGTCCACCTCAGGACCGTTGGAACCCCCGTCTTCGCGTGAGCACCGGAAATCAGCTCTACATGTTGGACCAGGAAGAGGTATTGTACTCCACACCCCAAAGATACACTTATTCTCATGGACTTTTTGGCACAGGTGGGAAACCAGAAGAAAATTAGGATGCTACTCAATCCCTATCAAGTATTTTTCACCAGATACCACTCTAAAAGACGGATATTTCCGTTTTTTGATTGAAGTCACACTCGTTGATCACATTGTATCGTCACTTGGTACAAATAGTGCTCAAACAACTTTTATTACATAGACAAGTGAAACGAAATAAGATAATACACCAAACATGACAAATATCTCATAACATCATGTAAATAGACATGACATATTTTGTTGTTTCAGACTTAGATCCTGGCAAGATTTAAATTCCACTCATCAAAATGAAAAATTTAGTGGTCATGGAGGGAATGCTGTACCTCTTCCCACATCACCACTCAGTCTCTGGTAGGGTAAAATGCAGCCCTCTCGCTACAGTACAGGTTTCTGTTCTTATGGGTCAAGTGAGAAAAATATTCCACGGAACTGATCAAAAATAAGCCCAGTGACATGAGCACATTGAACAACAACCAAAAAAAACACAACAACAAGCAAACAAAAATGGTGTCACCAACAGAGCATTTAGATTGAGTAACACTTGCTGAGAAACTTTAACTGCACTTACAACCACATCGGTGATATGAGCCTTCTACATGATTATTAAATGAACTTAACATAATCAGAACCAACAGGTTAGACCCACTGTCTTGGGTTTGCTTATGAAACCCAGGGTGTCCGAACCTGTTTTTTTCAGGCTGTCATTAGTGCACAGGGGCTCCTAGCATGTTGGAAATCCATATAGAAGTGTTAATAAAGTTTAAAACTTCAATAAGCTCCTTGGGATGCTTCTACAAATTATGGTCCAAATGTGCTTACCTAATTCAGGAGATGTAATTGGGTAAGGGACAAACGTTTGTAACTGAGGTACTATGCTGTATGTCAGAATAATTGTTGGACCTATGAGACTAGAATGTTTACTGATCTGTGGAGTGATACAAGTACATTTCTACAACACTGAAACCCGCTATAATTCTCAAACGGAAAAAGTTTTGAGTCAACGACAGTCTAAGTCTCAGTGTACAGTCAAATTCAATAATGGAAACAAAGAACAACTGTGAATGAATAGGTATAGATGATGCAGTACACCCTGGTGGAGACCGGAGAACTTGCACTCTGTCATGTGGGCCTTTACTGTGAGCTGGCCTGTTGGAAGTCATAAAAGCCAATGGAAGTGCAGGTTTGCCAAAAGCCAACTGAATGACTCTCAAGCCACTAGAAACAAAACCATTGGGGCTGGAAAAAAAAAGGCAAATATAGTATGTGTTCCCAAAGTGCATGTGGAGGAAAGTCAAACATGTAGTGGCAGCAACATGTTGTGGGGATATTTCCCTTTACTGTTACAGAGACTGAGAGTTATGTTAAAGGGAAAGATATAGAAACCTAGAGAGCAACCCTGAGTGAAAATCTGTTTCAGAATGTTTTGGATCTCATTTTTGGGCAAAGGTTAACTTTTCCAGAAGATGAAGCGTATCACCAAGAAAACACAGAAGTGGTTTTGAGAAACCTATTTGAAAGTCGTTGAGTGGCCAAACCGGAGACCACAACTGCACCTCAAACAGCATCTTTGGAGAAACCTGAAAACGGCTGTGCACTTACACTCCCAATTCAACCTGATGGAGCTTACGTGATTCTGCCAAGAAAAATGGGAAAGTCTTCCAAAAGAAAGGTGTGCCAAGCTTGTAGGATCATTTCCAAGAAGACTTTAAAGTGTCAGTGCTGCAAAAGGTGCTTCAACTAAATTCTAAGGGAAGGACCTGAATGTCAAATAGGATATTTCAAGTCCTTTACAAAAGTTTTTACTTTAAAAGTATTATGAAAAATGATGTCTGAAACATTAAAAGATATGAAAATAGTGATTACAAAACTTACCGAATGTCCGGTACTGTTGCGGTCCCATTAGAAAATGGTTTTGCAGAATGCCTGGCTTGAATTTAAAGCAGGTGTATATATAATATGTAATCTATTGTAGCAAAGCATAACTGACTTCGAGCCATTTATCTAAAAGCAATCATAACCAAAGACATAGACTGGATAGATTAGTAGACCTAGATTCAGATTCTATCAAACACTATCTTGATGGGTATTCTCACAATGACCTGTCATAAGTTTTTGTGCTATTTAAAGGACGATACTTTTTAATAATATCTACTTTAAAGAAGGTCAGACAGAGAGGACTGTGTCCAGACTGTCCCACACACTCGAGTTTCCCTGGACTGAATCAGTGTCGCCTCAGGCTCGCTGTTGGGGTTCATTTTCAGGGGCAGCTGTTGTTTCTGGGGGAAGCCGTCTGTTTCTGGCTGTCATTAGACACAAACCTCAGAAGATTAAAAAACACAGTGGGATGGTAGTTATTTTGAAATTAAAAAGTATACATCACTTCTTTGGTCATCTAAGTAATTATTTATTTATTCCTTAAATTTTCTTGAACCGCCTATAAACAGCCAGCCAAAATGAAATGTTTCATGGAAATTATGATGAAGCCAGTGCTGCAGAAATAATTTTCCATGAAATGCAGATGAAATTAAGGATGATTAAGGAATTATATCAAGGAGAACATTTGAACACACACATTACAGCATTTTTGATCAGTAATTTGCGAAATTATAACCCTAAACAGAGTTTTATAAGCTACCTTTTACTCTCAAAACCAACCACAATTGTTGGTTTTAGTATTTTCACAGTATTTGTTAAAAGAAGCAGTTGAATCAAATGCATCCCCTTCTACCTGTCTCTGACATGAAAAACATTTATTGGAAACATGAGGTTCAGCCTGTGTGACACTTTTTAGGCAGCACAGATGGTCTGGAGACGTCGTTTCTGTGTTTTACAATAGAAAATATATTCTAATTGGATTTTAATATCCTAGATTTGTCAGATGGTTGTTTAAAGTAGCTCAGGGTTGACTTTTCCCTGAATAGCAGTTGTCTGCAATGCTGTTTATTACATCAACTGCACAGTAACAACGTAACTTTGATATATGTAGAGCTTTAAATGCTTTAATAAATGCCTCTCTGTTTTTAGCTGGTACTTAACAATTTGTTCTGTTTTTCACCACTCCCGAGATCTACAGTGAAAATGAAATGTTTGCTGTTTAAACAGGGCTAAACTGAATTGTGTACAAGACAAAGCTTGACTGTGTTTATTCTCTGGTTCCTCAGTTAGTTAACACTGATTAACTGGGCTTTTTAAAATGTGTATTTGTGTGATAAACAGAGAGAGTGCATCTGCTGCTGGTTAGAGTAAAATCTCATCTTCAGGCCAGGAGATGGTACTGTTCTGCAAGTTTTCCAACTCACACATGCACACAGACACACACAAATGCACACGGTTTAAGCTAACACTGCTGATTTATAACACTACTTATAATGCCACCATAAATGAGGCAGTGGCCTGAAAAATCCATAGGTCACTTCCCCAAACTTGGCGGGGCAATTATTGTATTATGCACATGCTATTATATTTTTCAGTTTGCATTAAAGGCCTAAATTCTGACACATGAAAATACAGCTGTTTTATTTGTGCTTACTTTTACTTTGTCTGCCTCACTGCCTGTTGCTATTTATGCAGTATGTGTGCCACTGCATGGCCTGTGATTTAACCTCTCACTCTAAGGTAAACTCAGCTTTGTTGGCAAGGCAATAAAGTAATGAATCCTTGCATGGTCAACATACAAGTGCCAGCTTTACTGTCATGTGTGTGCATGGCTGCCGGTGGTATTTCTGCTGGTCATCGCTTCGATGAATGCAGCAGCAATTCCAGTGATAACCCCGCGCAACTGCCGAAGGACTGAATGGAGAGCCCGGTTCAATTAATCGGTGGCTCATCCCTGCCTAATTGTGCCAATAAGGCAGCAGCTGTGAACGAATCTAAGGCAGGGCTGACGTGCTGATGGCCGTCACCTCGGCGACGGCGAGAGGCATTAAATATTCATGCCTGTCACTCACCTCATGCAGAGCGGGTGTCTCTCGCCTCCTCTCCCTTTCATGCACAAACACAGACATACACACACTCGCCCTTCAATTTATTTCCATTCGTTTTAGATGGCTTCTGTGGCTCAGCAAAAAAAAAAAGGAAAAGAAAAAAGCAAAAAAAAAGCAATCATACTGTACTTTTCCACAGCGGAGATATGGAGGATCAGAGGAGGACCTTGCTCTCCTTTCTCTGCTTCCCGCACATTTTGTTATCAGCCCATCTCAAACACACACCTTTCACCTCTCTGATTTTCTGTTTGCTTATATGCTTTGCATCTAAGCTCAGCGCAGTTCCTGCTGTGTCTCGTATCTCTGCCTCCTCCAGCCTCAGTCCTCATATTAATTCCCTCCATTGATCCATCACTCTTACCTTTTTTTCTTCTCTCCCCTGCTTCCTGCTATCTCTCGTCTTTATCTAATCTCCCTGTTGTTTCACCCCCTCCTACTCTCCCTAATCTGTCTGCTTCTCTGCCTCCTTCCTTCTGTCTCCATATTCTTTGCGGCCGCACTTCCTCTTTCTGCTCCTCTCTCTCTCCATTTTTTTTGCTGCAGCTCTCCTTCACAGTTTCTCCCTCTTTCCTGCTCTGTCCCTTTCCTCCTCATCCACCCGCCCACTCTATCTCCGTCCTTTCCTCTGTGCTCCTCTTCCTCGCTCCCTCTCTCCAGGGCGACTGGCAGGAGTCTTTGGCTCTCCCACAGGCCACCTGTCTCTGTGCTCCTCACAGCTCCATTCACTTACCGCTCCATTTTTTAAAAAATGTTTTATGAATGGCAGCCATCAGAAAGACATGGGAGGGACGTCTCCCCGCAGAGCTGAGGTGTCGCTTCAGGGAACAAGACTCCTCTGTTGTGCCTAAAATGTGTCACTATGGAAATTTGTGTTAATGTGTAGCTTTTCACTCCTGGTGTGTTGGGTTCATTGAACTGTTTCCTACTAATCGAGTGTGCAGTCACTTCATAGG